ACATATAAATTAAATTTACTCTTAAATTGTTTTTTATGAACCACAGATATACTACATAATTGGTTTCTGTACAGTATATTGAAACACCTGTGAAAAGTTTCAACAAATAATTTCCTGTGTAACGTACACATGAGTAAAAGTTTAAGCCCCTCTCTCAAACTTAAAAATCTGGGGGTAGGGGCATAATACAACTTATTTCAACGCCATAAAGATTCACAATGGCATTTATCAATGTATGTTGAACATGCTACATGGACATGAAATAACTGTTCTCAAGTTGTCTAGTGTCTTTCTTGGCCCTTAAATCCAGTCAGATATGAGAAAAACATGCAAGCAGCAGCTTTTCGTGCTTTATGCGAGAAATGGAACAGCAGACTGGTCATCAGCTGTTACTATGCAATGTCTCTGTTATTGTACATGTAAGATTGTACTTTCTTCGTATTTTCATTTACAGTGATGAACTAATACAGTGAAACATACACTTCAGCCAGGTTTTCTGTACCATATAATGATACTTCAAAGAGTATGGTGAGCTACCAACAAGTTATGTCTACTGCTGTATATAGTGAGACAGTTTCAGCAAAGTAGAGGACATGATGATGAAAGAAGAGTGCACTTATTAATGCTCAAAACAACAGATATTGGAGTAATATTAACTGTAAACAGTCTTTTGAAGTACCCACTCACCATCAGAACACTTGTGTGTGCCAGTACCGCTACGCAAATAGCAGAACCTGTATTTTTAAAAAAAAAGTATTCAAATAATCCCCACACTGGGTGAATTTAGGCACATCTGTGAAATAACTACACTAATAACATCTGTTGACGCCAGTGAATTGAAACTAGTGTCAAACAATCTTTTTCAAGAGGATGAAGTTTAAGAGTAGCAGGGTGACATTCTTAACATCTACTGTGATGGTTAGCTCTTTTAAACAATGTATTTACTTTAACAAATGCATATCAATGTTTATAATATACAGTGTATTAGATTTATGAGACACACTCCATCTTAAGTGCAACAATTTAATTGTAGTTCTTCCTTCTTTTCTTCCTCCACACTACATGTTTCGGCCCAAAATTTTCAAATTGACGTGTGTAGGTTAACAAAGATTTTATACATACATACAATTGAAAAGACTGGTGTTTTATATTTTAAACTACGAGTAGTGTAGCAGCTACGTAAGAATATACACCTGATGATAGCCATCTAGGGCCGAAACATGTAGTGTGGAGGAAGGAAAGAAGAACTACAATTAAATTGTTGCGCTTAAGATGGAGTTTGTCTCATATATTGTGTGAGTGTAACAGGATGCTTAAATATAATATTGTATTAGATTTGTTTCATTCTGGTCCGTCACACTAACAATATTACAAATGATAAAATAATTTCATCTAGTGTGACTGTTGAAGCTTTTGCTACTACACTTTTTAGCACCCTAACATGTTTCGGTCCCTATAGACCTTCATCAGAGGGAACATCAATACTTTTTGAAACTACTATTACATTGGGTGTTTTGATTTTTAAATACATAAATATACAATATTTGTAATATACACTTTATACAAAATCCAAATTTCTTACCTTCCCAAGTAAGACAGGCGGCACAAGTTCGGCCCCATCAAGAAAAACGAAAGGAAAAGGGACACAAACCTATTCGGTTAAAGAATTTTAACTTAAATAACAAAAAGTTTTTAAAAGAAATTAAATAAAAAAACTTTAATGCATCAAGTTCTAAGAAATTTGGATTTTATATAAAGTGTATATTACAAATATTGTACATTTATGTATTTTAAAAATCAAAACACCCAATGTAATAATATTTTGATGTTCCCTCTGATGATGGTCTATAGGGACCGAAACATGTTAGGGTGCTAAAAAGTGAAGTAGTAAAAGCTTCAACAGTCACACTGGATGGAACTGTTTTATCATTTGCAATGTATTAGCTGTAATGCTAGGCTCCCCTCTTGGCAAATGAAAAGCAACAGGCTGATGGTAAGAGGCAATTTGGCTGTTTGTTACTGTAGTTGCAACATATCTATGAAATGGTCTGGGACTTTATGTAAAATGTCAACACTACTATATAAGTTATACTGTAATTAAATATTTATTCAGCATACATTCAATACCTTATTTGCTTGCTTCCTACAATATTAATACTGAAGCTACTTTTTTTACATATACAGTATTGTAAAGTGTATACAGTATATAGATTTGTGAAACTTTTCTGTCTCAAGAACTAGCGTGATGTTCATAAACTTTCACAAATATAGCTACAAAAAATCATTACTTATCCAAGTTGTATCCTTCAAATAATACGAACATAATGCATCTTTTATTTCCTCTATCTCTCATTCATACCGTCTCACATCACAATATTTTGCATAAAAGGAACAACACATTGCACACAGATTCCCTTTCTCTACCACAATGGGCCTCTTTTGTACTTTTACCACAATCCTAGATTGGTCATTAAGTTATGTAATGCAAGAGCATATCTGACAGCTGGAACACCTTATACTGCCACATAACAAACCTGCTGCAAACATAAGATGGTTAGCTGGGTACTGCAGAGAAGAAAATAACAGAATTAATTTGGTGAAACAGAGAAGCAATAAATGCAAATGTATTCTGTTCTCAGATATATTGTATTTTAATGTCATATTGTGTGTGAGCTATTTATTGTATGTTCCATTAACTCTTCAGCGAGGGCATTTAAATATCGCTGTTGGTGGGTGCTAGTGAAATTCTGAACTTTAGTGTGCCCATGTTTTTGTTATTCGGGAGACACAGATATATGACCATTGTGCTACGTATTGCTACACCGAGTAGCCTCTTGAATAACTTCTGATACCACTTAGTACTCTCATTTTGTTCAAGTAAGTATGGCTGTAGCATTTGATCTATCAGATCCACTCCTAGCATGTTTCTGTTGTAATCACAAACAACCAAGGCGCTTTGTTTCTTGTTTGCTTTATTCACAACCACACGCATATAATCTTTGTGGTATGTTGATATCATAGTCACTTGGCCATCACAACCGTGGGGTCAGCGTTCTATTTAGACTGACTGGCAGAGCTGCAGGAAATTGAATGTTATGTTTACACAAAGAGAGCGCATTCTTTTCACAACAGCCCAGTGCAATCGTCATCATGCTGGCATGGTTCGTTCCATATTTATGGGCCTTCAAAATTAAGCTTACAGCTTGGCATACGGTGTACGGCAAACCACAGGTAGGACCATTTAAATACCAGCGTACCATGTATGGCAAACCACGCTGAAGGGTTAACACAATCCTGTATAAACTGAATAAATTTATATTGTTTTCACTTTACAGCATGTTTCGGCCATTCGGGCCATCATCAGGTAAGTCATTTTATGTTAACACTATACTTTTTCTGATATTATTCACCTACATTGGCCAAATTTTACAATTTTTAGAAGGAAGGTCCTATGTCATTGCAAGCTTAAAATTAATAAGCAAAATAAAATATAATAAGATTATTATTGTTATCAATTAAAATTTCTCTCACTTGTAGCTTGGTCACTCACAAGTGGTCAGCCCCACAGTCACTCGTCAAAGGCACATCATCAAGTTTTACTATACTACAACACAAAAGTGAAGACCTTGACCCACTACGCACACACATATTCAAAACCAGCACAAAGTGATCCAGCAGCAATATCAGCTGCCAAAACTTTAACAATAAATAAATGTGCTGGCATACAAAGTTATACTTTGATAAATACAGACTGCTTGTGAGTGACCAGGAAAGACATTTAAAAGTCACAAATGAAATTTTAACAGATAATAATTATGTTATATTTTAGCGTCCTGTTACACTGATTCATGTCCACGGTTTATGCTAACCGTCTTAGAGTGTATACACTTTTTCACCTTATTCTTCACTTCCACACTACATGTGTCAGCACTAATGTGCCATCCTCAGGTGTCTTTATGCATGTTAAATTATTGTACTGCATGCCATGATGTCTTCATTCTAAAATGACTAAAATCTGTATTTGTCATATATGTTGATGAAAAAGTGTATACACTGTAAGATGGTTAGCATAAACCATGATAATAATTATCTATTTTAGTTTTACTTAATTTAAAATTAAAATTAATTTTACCCTAATATTTTTAGCTCAAATAAAAATTACTGCTGACACATATGACCTGCATAAAAATGGTAAAAACTGTAAACATTGGACAATGTTGGGGAATAATAGCAGAAAAAGTAGTGTTAATGTAAAACGACTTACATGAGATGGCCTCAATGGCCAAAACAGTTGTAAAGTGAAAAAAGTATAAATTTATTCAATTTATATAGGAACTGTGCTGACAAGAAACAATTATTATTCTGAAGAAAGCAGTCTTGTGGGATGTGGCACCGTGCAGATGTGGTGTTAACCGACGTTTCAGAGGAACATATCGCCTCCATCTTAAGGGTAGAAGGAAAAATAAAATCCACACCAAAGAGACCGTGAGAACCGGTACAAGCAGACTGGACTGATGCTGGAAATAAACTCAGCTTTTAGAGCAGGGAGGGGGGGGGCAAGTCTACACGGGAAAATCAGTGGAGAGGGAGAGGGGAAGGGTCCAGGGAGCTGTAGCAAGGTTAGAGCAGGTATAGGACATTGTGTTGGGGGAGAAAGGCAAGGTTAATGGGAGGACATTAACCCTTAAGCTGGGGGGTTGCTATGTGACTCGGTCATGACCTGTGTAGCCTTGTGGATCTGGCGTCGTC